TAGGAATACGTTTATTTGGATTTATAGTATAAACAACCTTGACCAGCTGTCAAATGCTTTGTTTCATTCAAGAGAGACAACTCTGTTAATCCTTTTTCATTAGTTTGTGAAGAGTTATCCCCCTTTGTTTACTTGCTAGCAGACGACATTTTCAGTGATCCTCAGTATGGATGATATAGAGCAGAGGAAGTTGATTTTAAAGTATTATAACAAGGACATCAGATCAGCTAAAGTGATTTCAAATAGAACAGGCATCCCTTTGTCCACTGTTTATCGTGTTTTGAAAAATATTGCAAATGGATATGGCATTGAGCACCAGGGAGGCGCAGGTAGGTCAAGAAAATTGACTGTCGGTGACAGGAGGCGGCTTGGTATTCTTGTTTCTAAAAACAAACGAAGGAGTTTAGAAAACTAAGGCTGGATATGATTGAACTGTGGCTGTCTGTAAGGAGACAATTAGAACTGAGCTGCATGCAATGGGTTGGCAGAAAAGTCCATCACTGATCATGAAACCTGAACAAAAGGAGCGAAGGTTGAACTGGTGCTTACAGCATAGAAATTTTAACTGGGACAATGTGATTTTCTCAGATGAAAGTTCTGTGTGGCTGTTTCCTAATACACTGAAATTCTGAACCAAACTGAAAAACCTTTTTCAGCGCCCAAAGTACAGTCCGAAATTTAACGTGTGGGGTGGCCTATCTGTGTTAGGGGCAACGCCCCTCTGTGTGTTGAAGGGAATATGAACAGTGAGCGGTACACAGATATTCTCAAGGGACATTTACCTCCATCTGCTCACGTGTTCTATGGAATTTTTTTAGATTTTCCAGCAGGACAATGACCCAAAACATTGATCAAAGCATTCACAGGCCTGGTTTCGGACCCAAAATATGACATTATTAGATTGGCCAAGCTATAGCCCTGACCTAAATCCAATAGAAAATGTTTGGGGACTTATGAAGGAAAGTGTCAATAAGAAAAATCTGACAAATATTGCTAAAATGAAAGAAGAGGTGGTCCGATATTGGGACAGCATGGACCACGACTTTCTAACTTCTTTGATCAGTAGTATGCCCCATCGCGTTGAAGCCTGCATTGCTGCCCATGTGACTTGACAAAATACTAATTGTTCACCTGTCTTTGAATCTGGAGTTATGTTCTGCTAATATTCACATTTAATATGCAATCTTTAAATTCTCATTAATTACGTGAGTAATGAGTGAAAAAAAGTTTTAAAAATTACAATCTTTAAATTCTCAATAATTTTTGGTTGTACTGTACCTGCACAGTGGTAGGAAAAGTTAAATACTGCTTATACCAATCGGATTTATTCAGTTTTTTTATTCTTGTATGATACCCCTCTGCATGAAGATAAGAAAATCTTCTTTGGACCAGTGTGCAAAATAGCTGCTGGCCCGCTAGCCCATGGCTAGTAGATATCTAGTCAGGCCAGTAAATCTTCTCAGTCACTGGCCCGACTGGCTAGTGAATGTTCATGGGGTCATTTTGTACATCACTCTCTCCGACTTGTTAAGTTATAACACACTTTTAAAATCATGCAAGATTATGGTCTGATAAAAAATGTTCATCATATTAGGAGCTTAATAATGAAACCCATATCATGCCGATAATATCTTACAGGGCTTGATTTAGTGCTTTGTTTCTTGCACTGGTGCAACCCAATATTACAAATGCAACCTAGTTATTTGTCTAACTTGCACCAGGTGCAAGTCAATTTTTGAGAAATATATCAACAATAAATCTAACATTATAAGCATAATTATGTCAGCTCATTTTCTTCTAAACTTTGAATAATTCAATAGCACATTTCTTTCATTACATATTGCAATAAAAGCAGTGCAGTTGGAATTTGGCTGGTGCAACTAGGTTTTTATCTTAGGTTGCACCTGGTGCAAGTATGTTAATGTCTCTTAAATCGAGCCCTGTCTTATTCTCACCTATTTTTGTAATCTTTTGCTTAGTTTCTGCATTCCTATTTCAGGCTAGTGAATTATTTGGTGGGCTAGTAACTTTCAGGCATAGCTAGCCTGACTGGCTAACAAAATTTGGAAACTATTTCACACACTGCTTTGGACGTACGACAGGTGCACTTGCTCATCAGCCAAATAAAATTCTTGGTTAAGTGAAGTATCTGATTTGTCTATCTTGAAAAAGAACTTATTTATGTTCAAAATTTTGGCAGTGAGTAAGTAAATTAGGAAAAGAAGCCAAATCACTTCACAAAGGTGTCATCAATCTCGAGAATCCATGCATCATTCATATAGATTGGGCGGTCCAAGTTTGCTCATGATTCAAGTGATCTTTGCTTAGATAGCTATTGTATCCAATTCTGATTTTAATGAGACTGTGTTGGTACATGGCCAGAACATCTTTACAACAGATATTCATGGACATGTCTTCAGCTCATGCCTCTTTTCGTTGTGTCTCAGCATGATACATGGTTATCTGTGACATTCGGCATGCATGCTATACTTGCAAAGTGATACACCGTAAATCATCCTCAATGTCATGGGGAATATATCCATAATAGTAAATACCTTGGACCCATTTGCCTCGGTTACCTTGTTTTAGAAGCAGTGCCAGCAACTCCATCTCCATATATCCATATATCGAACGAAGCACAGACTTTACATCATACAGTTTTGAAAGGGCTATTTTGTATGTGCTATTTCGAATCAGCTTCTAAACAAGGCAGGTAGCAAATGGGTGCAGGGCACCCAGAACAATGATAAACTGTAAATCATAAAACTAAAACCAGGGATAGAAATTTAATTTTTTCAAAGGGTGCCATTGGGCACCAGACAGATAATTCAGGTGTGCTTTTGTAAACTTAAAACATCTTAACAATTATGTTATTTCAGTTTATTGTTTAGTAAATCAGTAGATATGTAATATGTAATATGTAAACTTGAGAGGTGGATTTCCTAAACACAATTTTGACTGCAAGAATAGTTCAGCTTCAATCTCCCAGACCCATAAGTTAACCCAAGAACTATGTTGTCATCCAAAACAGTGTATCCTGTCATGTTTAGTGGTATTCAAAATAGCCATGCCCATGTTAAGCTTTTAAATTGTTTAATATGATGCAAAAATAGGTTTTGAATCATTTCAGTTGATCAAATTGATATCTTATCATTATTTGTTCCTCTTCTCTGAGAATAGGGGACATGGGTGTCCCAGGCTTGTTATTTTTGCTGTAGAGAGTCACACCAGTGATTGTTGGTTTGATTCATGATGTTCTGTTACACCCATGGTCAATTCAGTCAGTTTATCTCAAGAGAGTTACCTCCCCCAGTGGAACTCTTTCAGGTGGAGATAGACTTGTGAGCCCTCACAACAAGATGTCGTCTGCTATCAGCAGCTCAATTTAGGACAATTAACCAAAGTCAGACAATTACACAGTCCACACAGTGTATGTTTTATTTCTTTCATATCACTCTCAGTGAGGCTTTGTCACTTTCATCATAACTTTTAGTCTTGAAATGAGCTTTAGATGTAATTTTAAATGCTTTGAACTTTTTCTATGTTTTGGCTCCATTCGCAGAGGTCACAGAAGTTCACTTCACTGAAAATATGATTGAATTCTCTCTTTATTAATTATTGATGTTGGAATCATTTCCGTGAATTAAATACATTCTTTGTCTCATATTAGAAAGTAAAATATAAGAAATATAAATAAGCTTAAACATTTTGTATAGATTTATTTCAATGACCTTTTGAATTGTCAGAACTATAGTAGAACTAATTCAGTCTTTTTATGGCCATTTCAGTCTTTTCACCTTACAACTATCAAGTCCTGCCACACCAATATGTCAAACTAAAAAAATCATTTGTCAACTGTAATGCTCTATTATGCATCAGGAATCATAAAAAACTTGATAGTTCGGTTAGCTGGCTGTGTCTTTATACAAGACTGAATAAGTGGTCACAGTACACATGGATTCTTCTGATTATGTTTCCAGGCAAAAACAAAATATGTCTGTTTCAGGTTTCCCAACTGACAGGTTTCTCTCTCTCTCTCTCTCTCTCTCTCTCACACACACACACACACACGCACGCACTCTCTCTCTCTCTCTCTCTCTCTCTCTCTCTCTCTCTCTCTCTCTCTCTCACACAGAGAGAGAGAGACCAGAGAGAGAGAGAGAGAGAGACACAGAGAGAGAGAGACACACACAGACAGAGACACACACAGAGAGAGAGACACACACACACCCCTACCTCATGCAGTTGATCAATGGATTGTCTGGTCCAGACTCAGTTATTTACAGACCGTCACTATATAGCTGGAATATTGCCGAGTGCAGCATTTAACAACAAACAAAAGCTCCTCTGAATATTGAATACTTTGTTCATTATACTAAACATACAAGGCCGACCGGTAATTCCGCGCACCTAAGCACATCGATCGCAACATGGCAACTAACGTCTCTTATTTTTTGTGGTTTATGTGACTAAACATGCTGGTATGCATCATATTTACCTAGAAATATAAGTTTTATTGACGACTATAAGATTCTAACATTGCATTATGCCATACGGTTGACTTTACCGGCGTTCTGACGACATCGCTTGCTGTCCGGTAATTCTGCGCAGCAACTGATGCGCATAACATCCAGTTGGAGATCCGAAGTATGGAAGCGTATTAGGGCCAGATTATTTTCAAAAATCACTTCATCAATGTAAGGAAGAGTGTTTCATATTAAATCCAATTATGAATAATGAAGAAAATGGTTTAAAAGTCTGAAGAAAACGAATTTTCATAATACTGTCAATATATCTGTCAATTACTGTTATTTACCTTCCTTTAGTGATTAAAAGCCAGTCCCTTGTAGAAAGGTCCCGATTTCAAGTGTAAATGTGGTAGCAGACGATGTTTACCTTGATACGGAAGTACGCTATTCCAGCTGCGCAGAATTACCGGACGTGCAGAATTACTGGACTCGCTTGTAATACTTACATGATATTGTTTCCATGTGTTACAGGTAGTTGCAAGGACTTTGTGACCGGAACCAACTTCCTGGTGTACTGCAGTCACTTCCTGTCAGCATGGGTGAGTGAGGCATTTCTGTAGCATTTCTTACATCACCTAAACCAAACATCATTTTGTCTAAGCAAATTTCCATTTGTTTTTGGAAGTCCTTTGGGCATTGTATCAGGGACATTGTATACAGCATTGTATTAGGGACATTGTATACGGGCATTGTATCAGGGACATTGTATACTGCATTGTATCAGGGACATTGTATACGGGCATTGTATCAGGGACATTGTATACTGCATTGTATCAGGGACATTGTATATGGGCATTGTATCAGGGACATTGTATACATTAGGGACATTGTATTGTATCAGGACATTGTATACGGGCATTGTATCAGCGACATTGTATACTGCATTGCTTCAGGGATATTGTATATGGGCATTGTATCAGGGACATTGTATACTGCATTGTATCAGGGACATCATATATGGGCATTGTATCAGGGACATTGTATGCAGGCATTGTATCAGGGATATTGTATCAGGGACATTGATTACAGGCATTGTATCAGGGACATTGTAAACAGGCATTGTATACGGGCATTGTATACATTGTATACAAGCATTAATTTAGGAAGATCTGATGATGGCATTATTTCAGGGAGATCATATGCAAGCATAATTTCTAGGAAGTTGTATGCAGGCATTTGTTTACAGAGTTTGTTTGCAGGCTTTGTATGCATCATGATTGTTTCAGGCATGTCAGTATGTTATATATTATGGTCTGCAAACTGAAAATAAAATCCTTAGTTAAATACAATTGGCTGGCATTGTTTTAGGGAGATCGTATGTGGGCCTTTGGCGTTGGTCTGTTCCTGATCAAGATTTCACCAGAATCCCTTCAGCTGACCGCATCGTATGGGCTGGCTTCAGGACTTTCTGTTCTCTTTCTGGGGGCCCTGATAGGAGACTGGGTAGACAACACACCACGGCTCAAAGGTGAGGTTCTCCCTAGGTAGACATCACGTCACGACTCAAAGGTGACTTTCACACGAATGGCAATTTTCCGCTCATCCACAGATTTTGCCAATTTCATTGTATATTGATCATGCTGAGCTCCCATTCGATGACACAATATTAAGTTTTAGCTGAAAATAGATTTTCCTGTTGCCATCCTTGGGTACACCCTACATAGACAACACACCACGACTCAAATGTGAGGTTCACCCTAGGTAGAAAATATACCACGACTCAAAATAAGGTTCATCCTGGGTAAATGATACATGTTCAAAACACAAACCTTCTTATCATCCCAGCCAGTGGATAATCATATCCTTCACATCAAGCGAAAAAATATTGTTCCAAGTGGCATTAATCCATCTGTGTGTCTATTCCAGCTGCGCAGCTGTCCCTGGTGCTGCAGAATCTGTTTGTGGCTCTGTGTGCGGGGGGCGTGTACGTCAACCTCACCTACCACGAGGACTTTATCACCATGTGGGACGGGTGGCTGCAGAAGCTGGTGTCAGCGGTCATCATCATCCTGGCCATCTTGGCCAACCTGTCCAGTGTTGCTCGGATGATCGCCGTGGAGAAAGACTGGGTAGTTGAGATCTGTGGCAAGGATAAAGACATGCTAGCAAGTACGTAGACAGACGTAGAGCGTGGAGTCATCCCATTGCTGACATCTTTAGCTTGATGACAGGGTTAACCTCTTTGGTCATGTGGACAAGGTGCAAAACTTCAGATCAGAAGGTCCATGGTTCGAATACCAGCCCAGGACTCACAAATTCTATGACCACTACACAAGCAATAACTCTGAGATTTATGCATTGATTATAGTTTGGCATGAAATGCATGTGGACCCGTTTTTTTTGTAAATATCTCTTCATCCAATGATCCAATCAATCTCAAACTGTGCAAGTGGATGTTTTGTCAGACAACCTAATCACATTGTAAATCACCGATTTTATGCATTGGTATTAAAGAATCTGTCTATGTAACTGTCAACAAAATAAACAGCAGAACGCAGACTACTTGCAGAGGGAGGGAGCCAATGACCTGTAACAGCGGCAGTGTTGGGTCATAAAGGTAAATGCACGTGCAGTTCATGATAGTTACCTGTGCACTGCACAGTGATAGACCGTTTGGATCAATCACATTGACGACTTCAAGCTGTCATCATGAAAGCTTATTCAGATGATGCTAAACGTTTAATTAGAAATGTGTTGAATTTTTTTTCAAAGAGAGCAAACGTAGCAAACCGATTTATAAGGTGTCGGATTACATGAAACGTACAACTTTTGCTCTTGGCATGAAAAAGAACATCGTGCTAAAAATTGTGAAAAAATAAACCAACAACCAATAAACAAAACCTTGAACAAAAAGGTAGGCATCCAAAGTTAGATTCTTTTGACATCAGGGTCATCAGAGATGTCATTCGCCGGCTATTTGCTAGACATGAACACCTCTTCATGCCTGACACGTGCATAGCTGACCTACATGGACGAATCGTTGACCTTTATGACCCAACACTACCGCTGTTACAGGTCATTGGCTCCCTCCCTCTGCAAGTAGTCTGCATTCTGCTGTTTATTTTGTTGACAGTTACATAGACAGATTCTTTAATACCAATGTATAAAATCGGTGATTTACAATGTGATTAGGTTGTCTGACAAAACATCCACTTGCACAGTTTGAGATTGATTGAATCATTGGATGAAGAGATATTTACAAAAAAACGGTCCACATGCATTTCATGCCAAACTATAGTTTGGAATCATTTCATGAATTATGTCCCTTGGCTGTATCAAGTTCAGCTGTGTTTGTCAGTGTTAAGGAATTATCTAACACATGTTCCTCAGTCTCTTGGAACAACAGTCTCATTAATGTGAGATTGTTTGCTCTTTTGAGATGCTTCTCTACATGAAGATTTGAGGACACCTCCACAGAAGGCTCTGAATTCCAGTGCTTTTAGCACAGAATATCAAATGGTGGACCACTAAGAAAAGTCTACATCATGCAACAGACATAACTCTACTTGATACCCATGATCTATTAATCCTAATTATTTCAAACTTATTGTCCAAGATTGTGTATTTAATCTATACTACCCATCAAAAGTTTAGACTCACTTAAAGCACTCACTATATGTCATGTTTATATACACTATATATTCTTATATTTACTCTAGTGAATCTAAACTTTTAATGGGAAGTATATATGCTTTCTTCATTCATAGCAATGACTGCTACATTGAGAAGAATTGACCTTGCAACAAAGATTTTGGCTCCAATTGCAACCGGCCAGATAATGTTTTTCACGGAGATGAGGATTGGTGCCGTGTTCATCGGAGGCTGGAATGTCGTAACAGTGTTCCTGGAGTACTACCTTATATGGAAGGTCTACAACACGGTGCCGTCTCTGCGCAAGAAGAAATACTGGACGAAAAGTGACAGTAAGTCCCAATTTTTCCTTATCCTGACTCATGCTTAATTGCTTGTCTTCTTCTTCTTGCGAACATAGTGGAACACTTGTATCTCCTATTGAAGCTCCCTTCAATGTAAAATCACTAATCACTACTCACCAAGAGTTGTCCCTCCTTCCGTTTTGGCGGGAACTGGCGCCACTGTTCCCCTACATGCTTCACTCTCTCCTGAATATGAGCCCGACACTTGAAATTACAGGGAAATCCAAAGTGTCTTGTGGGGAGGTTGGGAGGGCTTACCTCATGAGTCAGGATAAGTATAAAATATCAATTTTACTCAGAAAATTACATGTTTTTCCTTCTCCTGACTCATGCTTAATTGCTTGTCTTCTTCTTCTTGCGAACATAGTGGAACACTTGTATCTCCTATTGAAGCTCCCTTCAATGTAAAATCACTAATCACTACTCACCAAGAGTTGTCCCTCCTTCCGTTTTGGCGGGAACTGGCGCCACTGTTCCCCCACATGCTTCACTCTCTCCTTCTTCGCCCAGTGAGCAGGTTGTGAGAGCCTGTGTCTCCTTACGCACTATATCCTTTGATTATTTAGTTAGTTACCTCTATAAGTTCTTTATAGAGGTTTAGCTAGTATCGTTCATCAATATGTTTTGATATTTATTCGTATTTACCACTGTTTATTCACGGTGTATTCCGTGTTTGTTCAGTAGTTTACGTTCATGAAAATCTGTTCCGTATGTAAGTTACGTTTCTCTGCTGCTGACCCGCACCTAATATGCCCTAGTTGCACAGTACCATGTTCTTTCAGCTCACGCTGCAATTATTGCAAGCATTTATCAACTTGTGAATTTAATAAATATTTACTTTGCTTCCTGAGACGTGATGCAGATAGGTCGCGCAGGATTGATCCAGTCATGGATAAGTCAGCTGAGTCCCTCACCAGTCAACTGCTGTCGGACGACCCCCTACCGTCTGGTGTTCCGCTGGAGTTTCCCTCGGAGGAGAGGCGTGGGACGAAGTCCGCCACCTCCAAGAAGAGACCTGCATCTCCAGTCATCCCGTCGTCGCAGTCCAAGACTCGGAGGTCGTCAACCACCCAGCGCAGACTTCGCACCCCCCAGGGCAGCGCCCACCACCAAGGGGAAGTCAGCGCAGACTACTAGAACTTTCTCGGCCGAGAGTGTTCCCGTCGCAGAACAGGGCCTGTATGATGATCAGTCGATCATCATCCCAGAGGTTCATCACAAGAAACGACAGGTCTCAGCTACGGTGACTTCAGCGCAGATCCAATCTCAACCTGATGTATCAACGCTGACAACAGATGATCGTCCCGTGGGCCCTGTCGCCATCAACGCAGAAAGGGCAGCGCTGGTACCACCGCAGACCTTCCTGGGCGACTTTATGCAGCAGTTCTCCCAGCAGATCATGGAGATGATGGAGGAGCGTTACGGCCTGGAAAAGAGACAACCAACCCAGGGCCCGAGCCTTCGCGAAGGCTCCAACGCAGACATCATCTCTGAGGGGCCTGCCATCAACGTGACTTCTGCCAGCAGAACTACACTACCGGACCAGCCTGCGCGAAGGCCGACTCAGCCTGCCCCTGCGGAGGACTCGGACGATCAGCGTTCGCGAAGGCGTTCGCGAAAGGCTACACGATCTTCACCTGCGGAGGACTCGGATGATCAATGTTCGCGAATGCGTTCGCGAAGGAGGAATCACTCATCCCCGGACTCTGGCTCGGACAACCAGCCTTCGCGAAGGCCTTCGGACTCAGATGAACCTTCTCAAGGACGTCAACTACAGTATCAAAGACATCTTCGTCCCGTAGATTGTCGAGGGATTCACCAGGACCTTCACGAACCAACAGTCGCTCATCTCCGCGCAGGTTCCCGCGCAGGTCACCCTACAGGCACAGTTCGGCGGGCCATTCACCACGTCGATCTCCACGCAGGTCACCATGACGTTCGCCCAACAAGTCTCCGCGCAGGTCTCCACGTAGATCGCCACCCAGATTACCACAGAGGACTCCACCTCGTTCACCGTCGGAAGAGTATCAAGGTCCCTTTCTCAGCACTCCTGTTACTGAGGATGATGGCGGCATCATATTTTCGGACTCTGAAATACGTTACTGGATGGCTAATGGATTGGACTTGGCTTCACCATCTAAAGAAGATAATCCGGCTCACACCTATCTTATGACAGATGATGATGTCGACACGCTCACTCTGACCCCGATCGACCCCATCGCAGCGGTTCCACAGAACCTGGACGCAGCTTTCAAGACAGCCACTAAAGCCCAGGCGCCAACACTTACGACAGTTCAATGCCAGGAAGTTCTCCTCCCATAACATGGATCCCTTCCTTAAAGCTCAGGAAATAGACGAGAACTTTAAAGTAATCAGCGATACCAAGGCCAAGTCTTACAAGATTGAGGACCGCAAGCTGGCTCAAGTAGAAACTATGACCAGAAGAATGTTCTTTCAATCTACTAACTCAGCTAGGATGGTTAGTGAATCTACTCAAGTCGGACCTAGAACCTACGCAGGACCTACAGTTTCTAGGCATCAGATTTCTCACGACGCACAACCGTATCATCGTGCCAGAGGACCGATGGCTCAAGATTCAACAGACCATCCCTCAAGCCTTACTCTCTCCGTGGCCACTACGACAGTGGCAGAGTCTGTTGGGTCTCCTCACGTCCGCACAAGACATGACAGCCAGAGGCAGACTACAGCTACGCCCGTTACAGGTCCTCATCAACGCTCATCTCGACGACCTACAACCCTTCGGTCTACCGAATTATCTCAGACCTCATCTACTATGGTGTACCCGGAGGTCGAATGTTTGCGAAGGCATCTATTTAGCAGAGCCGGAGTTCAAGACCCATCTATACGTAGACGCGTCACTCCAAGGTTGGGGAGCACATCTCGACAACCATGTGGCATCCGGGATATGGAATCACGAAGAGAAACGTCTGCACATCAACATGCTGGAGATGAAAGCAGCATTTAACGCCATTCTCCATTGGAGCACCATTCTACAGAATGCGCATATCATGGTACACACAGAGAACTCGACAGTGGCATTTTACATAAACAAGCAAGGCTCAACAAGATCATTGAACCTACTAGATCTGTGCTTTCAACTGTTCGACCTAATCGACGATCTGAACATCCACGTAAGAGCATGTCACATTCCAGGAGCCAAGAATGTCCTAGCAGACGCACTATCCCGTCCAACTCTACCATCGCCGACGGAATGGATGCTCTATCCAGAGATCTTCACACAGATCATCAAGGAAATAGGAGCTCTGTTAATAGACATATTCGCCACACGCTTCAACAATCAGCTAACAACATTCGTCTCTCCAGTCTCAGACCCACGAGCGTGGGCAACGGACGCTCTCAGCATATCTTGGGAAGGCCTCAACGGCGTGCACGCGTTCCGCCCGCCAGCTTTATACCAAAGGTTTTACAGAAAATCAGCCAGACAAGGAACCTCCAACTGATTTTGGTCGCTTTACTGGCCAGCGAGAATATGGTTCCCCATTCTCATACAAGAACTCGGACCTCCAATACTGCAACTACCAGAGTGGTCGAATCTACTAGTACATCCTCACACAAAACAAGCGCACGGCAACCCAAGGGCATTCCAACTACACGTATGGACTGTATCAAGGCGTGTTTAAACAAGAGAGGTTACTCAGCCAGCCAGGCGAAAAGCAGTCACGCTTGCTTTACGCAATTCTACACGCAACTTGTACGACGACAAGTGGCGCAGTTTTGAGACCTATGCTGCTAAAAAGGGATTTACAGCTAGAAATGCAACACATCCTCAAGTGGCAGACTATCTTTGTCACCTACGACAAACGGAACGTCTGAAAGGGTCTACACTCTCAGCATACCTAGCGGCATTGAGCTCAGTGATAACTATGAGGACGGGTGCAAAGCTAACCAAAGTACCAGAGTTACTGGCCTTGTTACGCTCTTACAGATTGGAGGACCAAAAACAGAGATTTCGCGCTCCGGCATGGGACCTCAATATTGTTCTCAAACATCTCACAAGTGACGTTTAAGAACCACTGGAGACGACATCCTTTGAATTCTTGACACAGAAAACGCTGTTCCTGCTAGCCCTAGCAACAGCAGCCAGGATGTCGGAAATTCATGCTCTAGATTACGAGAGAACGCAATTTGATGAAAATCAAAACACAGTGCACATGGGACTGCGATGGGATTTTATCGCTAAGAATCAACTGCCAGGTTAACCGGACAGACAATTCCACGTCCCAGCACTATCCTCCATACTCGGACCATGATACGCTTGACTTATCCTTGTGCCCAGTGAGAGCATTGAAAGTTTATCTACATCGATCCAGAATGAGGAGACGCAAGTTTAAACGACTTTTCGTCCCGATATCAACAGCGACACAGACGGAAGTCTCCCGACACTACGATATCAATCTGGATAAGAACTGTCATACTACGAGCCTACAAGGCTGCAGGACTCGATCCTCCAAGAGCCTCTAACCCTCACGAAATTAGAGCACTGGCGTCAACACTCACTCTACATGGGAACTGCTCGCTTAACACGATCATGGAGGGCTGTTTCTGGAAATCGGACATGGTGTTTGCAAACCACTACTTGAGAGATATCGCCACCGAGGACGTCTCAGGCATTCACCATTTCGGCCCTCTGGTTGTCGCACAACAGTTGACAGTTCCCCACAGAAGATGAGACGTAGTCTCGCTGTGTTATCACATGACTTATCAAGCCTACACTCAGCAGAGTTTTGCTTCAGTATCAATGCACGTTTCAAGACTAGCATAAGTGATAAACCCAGTACTTGTAAGTTTACGCCCCTTCGAAAAGATCATGAATTCTTCATGAAGTTTCTTCATGAAAACTTCATGAATTCTTCATGAACATTAAATGAGACATTTACTTCATGAAGACTTCATGAAGTTCCTTCATGAAGACTTCATGAAGTTCCTTCACGAAGAGTTCATGAACACTTCATGAAGACTTCACGAAGAGTTCATGAAGAGTTAACGAAGAGTTCATGAAGACCTCCTGAAGAGTTCACGAAGACTTCTTGAAGAGTTAACGAAGATTTCCTGAAGACTTCCTGAAGAGTTCACGAAGACTTCTTGAAGAGTTCATGAAGACTTCATGAAGACATGAAGAGTTAACGAAGATTTCATGAAGACTTCCTGAAGAGTTCACGAATGCAACTTTTTTCTGCAACACAAGACACAGAATTTCACATCTAAACCCCATGCTCTCTTAAGATAAAAAGACAGGGTATAATTTAGTAGAATAATATTTAATTCTTATTGAAGTCAAGTTTATTTCTGATGTGGGGTGGTCTTAGGCCCACATCACTGTTCTATACATGATCGAGGACTTTGCATTTTTATCACGTTATGAGATCATGTTCATTAACTTCTCAAGACATCCAAGATATTTTTATGGATTAAACTTCTTTGTAATTTCTCTCACAACGTTTCGAGACCATTCCAGGTCCCTTCATCAGGTGATCTGACAGTTAGGACTATGATGTCATAACTGAGTTATGACGTCACAATGCAAGTGACATCACAGTACACTAGGGAGAGTACTGTATAAGTGAGTTTGAAGAGTTATTTACATAATGATGAAAATTCATGCTAAATAATAGAGTTGAAAGTTGAATTGTCAATACACAACAACTGCTAATTACACAAAAGTTACTTGATAGCAGGCTTTCCAAAAAAGAATAGTAGACTCGTTATTTTTGGGGGGGAAATGCCACTGAAAGACATTCTCAAGACATGATTACATCTTATAACATACATGTATTGTATGTAAAAACATTGTATATTGTAGTTACAAGTTTATATAAATGTATCTTGTCGTAAGATTTAATGGTTATGATTCACTCCAGAGATATGCTCGAATTGTCACGCGATCTCCAGGCGATTACGTCATCAAAACATGTGTTGTTGATTCAGAGATTGTTTATACATTAAATCTGCTAAAATATAAATGAATATTAAAAAAGTACTTACGCAGGCGTGTTCCTGGAGGTTGTAATTGGTACACTATATCCATTTAATTTAATGTCACATCTTATTTGGATGTTAGATCGCATTCTTCTTGTATTCGGTGGCTTCTGCTACATGCATTACCCGGAAGTATGACGGCATCACATATAGCATACTCTCCTTCTAAAGCAGTTAGAGAGACAACAGACTCAACATAAGTTGTAGTGTTTTGGGGCTGAGATATTTTTAGGAAATTTTGGATTATTAGAGTTTTATATTTGAATTACAGTGCTGCATTCTTGGCTCTGCCTTTGCTGCACAGTAGTTATTCTTGTGAAATTGGAAATTTGGAAGTTACAGGAATAATAGATCTAACGAACAAGCCGGTAAACTAGCAAAAGTTTAATTCACTCTTGCAGTTGCCTATCCTTGAATTGTTATTGTCACCTATAAAATAAATAACAACAACAGTGAGTAAAGATTCATTGACTTTATTTATTTGTTAGAATTTTCTTTTAATCCATTTTTACATAACTTTCAAAATTGACGGTTGGGATGGGACATAAAATATATCCTGACGACCACGTTCCCCACCCCCAACCTGTTACAAGTTTCATTGTTTCTGCACATCAATATTGCAAATTTGTGATATATAGGATGGGCAAAGTATTATTCAGGTATATATTTGGTTCTAATTTCTTCTTAGGCACTACAAATACAAATAAAAAGATACTCATCCTCGATATGTCTTTTACAAATTAAACACATTCTGTATGGTCTATCCATTATCAATATACAATATATAACAAGGATACAAAATATGCTATACATCCATAAGTTGCCATAAAATACTTGTGACATTAAAAGTGTTTGAAATATTTCAAAACCAATTTCAGCACATACTGGTAATGATATCCCTGGTGCATTTAATATTACTATAATGCCTTCTTCAGCTCAAGCAGAATACAAAATTTAATTTTTTTGTGTTCAAGGCTACCTTCTGTTGAACTAAACGACAGCCGTGCCCTTTTTAACCTCCAGAGATGGCAGGATCACCTGGAAGCATAGAAGATAACAAGACATATGGTAAAAAACTTTAAGCAACACATGAAATTTCAATGCTAACAAAATTATAAAGGGTGGAAGTACTGGCATTAACTAGTTCATATTCAAAGAATGGACAAGGATAATTTTATGGCTAACAACTTCTTTAATACTTACATGCAACGTTTCGACATAGATACTTATGATGTCTTTCAGTGGCATTTAGAAGTTGTACATTGATGTCCAAG